GAATTTTGATTTCAGTCGTCTGCTTCTTTATCGGCTGAATTACTGGATCTTCCAATTCTGGGGACAAATGGGGCTCGACCTATACGAGGAGTGAATGCTACCCGAGAAGATCTGGACATTTCTGTATCTGATCGTCCGATTCTGGGGACAAACGGGGCTCGACCTATACGAGGAGTGAATGCTACTCTTTTGAGATCATTATTAGTCTCGTCAGCTGACGACCCTCGTCCAATTCGAGGCACAAAAGCTGATCGGAGTTGGACCTTACTTCTACCTAATCGAGGAGCTGGGATAATTTGTCGCATGTTCCTCTGGCTATCGTCATCTTCGAAGTTCCAAATGTCAGACCATTCTCCTTGGTCATCAGCTTCTTCGCTGAGTATGGATCTCTTTTTCCTGCCAATTCTTGGGATGAAACCTAAGGAAGAGCGCTTCAAAAGATCACTGTTCTCATAGCCTTTGAAGTTGAAGTCTTCTGGAACAAGATAAAAAACTGGGGATCGTCCAATCCGAGGAGAAAACTTCCAGTCATCAGCAGAAGTCAAGAGTCCTCGACCTAGTCGTAGAATCGGGATGACATTATGTCTTTTCTCTTCATCATAACTAGTATACCCTGGGAAGCAGAGAAATATTGATATTAATAACGACTGTTACAAAGGAAGTAATAAGGTATTAATTAACTAAAGAAAGATACTCAATTAATTCAGAAATCTTTTGAAAAAAACATGACTCATCTTTAGCTTGATGCACAGCACTGTGCAAAACGTAATGTTTTGCATTTTCTATAATGGTTGGATATTAGGTCGTCAAGAAATTAATGTCGCTTTTTTAGATGAAAAATCCCAAACAACTTATATATCAAAACAAAACATTTATTAAATGAAAGAGTCTCCATTCTTATCGATGATTCTTTTCCATCTTACAATCAGGTTGTTAATGTCCTTATTAAAGAAATTTGGGAAAACGTATGCAAATGTGGAAGGTGTTAAAGAGGACATCTACATGTTTTTTGCTTCAAAGTCAAGTGTTAAGATAGTGTTGCAGCGAACGAAAAAAGATGGTAATCTGATGGTGCCATATCTGGAGAATATGGTGGGTGGGGGAAAACTTCCCAACCCAACTCCATAATCTTGTGTTGTGTCAAACGTGCCACATGTGGACGTGCATTGTTGTGGAGAAGAAGAACACCTTTCCGATTTATGAGTGAAGGGCGTTTCTGATGAAGAGCTTGATTTAAACGTTCCAGTTGCTGACTATAGATCTCTGCATTGACAGTTTGCTGTGGATTGAGGAGTTTGAAATGAATTACTCCTTTGATGTCCCACCAGATGCAAAGCATCACTTTCTACGGATGGAGTCCAGGTTTTGAGGCTGGAAGTGGTTTTTTGTCTAGGACTGAGCCATTGTTTTTGGCATTTAATATTCACATAGAGAATCCATTTTTCATCACCGCTGACAATTCTGTCCAAAAATGGTTCATGCGCATTACGTGCCGGAAGAGACGAAGCAACGTTCCCATGTTGGAAATGATGATCATCAGAGAGTTTGTGAGGCACCCAAACACCATCTTTATAGAGTTTTCCCATATTACTTAGATGTTTATGTATTGTTTCATAAGAGACATGCAATTTCAGAGCCATTTCACAAGTGTGTTGCCTTGGGTTAGACTCAACAAGCGTCTTCAGAGCATCAATATCAACTCCAAAATGTCAGCCCCTGCCATCACAGTTTTTAAGGCAAAAGTCACCTGAATGAAATTTGCTGAACCATTGTTGGCACTTACAAATGTTCAAAACATTTCCATAAACTTATTTGATATTCTTTGTGGCTACAGAGGCATTGTTTCTCTTCTTGTATTCAAACAGCATTACATGCCGAATGTGTGTCTCATCGTGTGCCAACACTATAAGGGATTAGAGTATACTAAAATTTACATATTATATAGGCTACACTAATGTGACATTCAGGCAGTTCATTCAACTATTACGTGTAATGTACCTTTTTTGGGTGTGGTTAATAAAAGTGTTCCAAAACGCGAAATTAATTTCTTTGACAACCTAATATATACGAGTCAAAATCTCTCTGTTTGTCCGCCACTTTCACTGCGCAGGTCATACTTCCCTCATGTGAAAGTGCACAAAACAACAATTTTTCATTGATATATGCATCTTCTGTCTGCTAGCAGAACTGGTAATTTATATTTAATATATACAAATAACTTCTACACAGACTTGACATTTTTTGGTAAGTTTGAGTTAACATTTAATTTAGAATATAGCATTATAAGCCTATTTAGTTATACATCACTAACTATGCATCTATTAATACATCATATATTTAACCTCACACACAAAAGAAATGTATGCAAAATTAGAATGTCATGTTTGAAAAATAAAACAGTAGGCTTAGCCTATAAAATAAAATTATGCTGGCTGCCATGAAATAGACTGCAAAAAGAGTAAGGCTTAAATTCTAATATGTATTGTGTATAATCAGATTAAAGTTAAGTAAGCTTAACTGGTATTGTGCTTGCATGAGGTGGAAGATTGATTGAACCTGGAACTTGTATTTTTTTATTATTGCCATTAGAATAAACAGGCCTACTTAGTTATAGATTATTAATTATACATCTTCTAATACATCATATATTTAACTTCACATGCAAAAGAAATTTGTGCAGAATTAGAATGTTGTTTGTGAAAAAGCAAAGAGTAGGACTAGCCTATAAAATAGAATTATGCTGTCTACCATAAAATAGACTATGTGAAAACAGTAAGGTTTACATTATAATACTTATTGTGTAAAATGAGATTAAGTCACGTCAGTGAATGTATTTTATTCAACTTTTTTTTTCTCCCGGTGGTTTGATTCACCGAAGTGGATTTTTTTCTTCTGATACATTATAAAGTACAATATTGCATTTTTTTTGTAGTATATTTCATACATCAATGTCATAATGTGAATACGGTATCACATTCATAGAAATATATTCAATTTACATTAAAGCAAATTCAACGTAGTATTACATACATATTCATGTATAAAATATTAATATTTAAGGAGGGATGATGGGAGATGGGGTAACAGAGCTAGGCTTATCCTTGCCAGTGAAGGAAAAACGAAAAACATTATTCATAAGGAAGCTCTGATTTAAAACAGGTTCATAGTTTATTTTCAAAAATCAAACCTCAGGTTGTTTTCTTTTTCATAAATTTTTTACCTATCGGAATATGGAATGGGGAAACAGAGAGAGTAGTTTTTTGTTTTTTTTAAACTAGGCAATGCCACATAATGCTGTTAATTTAAAATATATTAAGTGTTCACTTACATTTTGAGTTTTTCTTCTCATACATAATAAAGATTAATGTTAATTTAAGAGACTGCTTAGCAGTAGGCCCAAGACAATTGAATTAAGCCATAGAATGCTCCCCATGCTTATAGTTCCTCTGCAAGAATATAGTTTGAGGTTAAATGAGCCCCCCCCCCAAAAAAAATCTTGGATTTGGGCTCTAAGTTCCTAAATTGTTTTCAAGATCTAAGAACAAAATTGAATTTTACATTTATTCTGAACCTTTTAAAAGTTTTGTAATATTCATTACCATTCCTAATCCCCTATAGTGCTCAACTTAATCTTTCTTTTCATGAAGATCAAATTACTAATTATAATCTTGTGTTGAAAGTAGAACTACTAGAAGTTAAAATTCAATAAAGATAAGCTATCCAGGTCGAAGCTGGTGATGTAGGTAATAAGAAGAAACTAAATGTATTATTTTTCTGTTGTTTTGAGTTGCTTCAAACTTTTGTTGACATTTTGATAAAAAAAAATAAATTATATAACAGTGGAAACTATGCAAAAAATTGAATATGTATTTACTGGTATAATGTTAAATTCAAAAATTTGTGAAATCAGTTATAATAGTTTTTCTATAAAGGGAAAAAGATTTGAAGCAGTATTTTAAATTTTGCTATGGTTACTTGATTCTGTGACCATCTGATTATCAATTAGTTACAGTTTTTATTATTAGATTCTAATTAGCATTTATTTTGTCCTATATTTCATCTACTGTCTTTAGGAAAGTCCTGAAAAGGACTGTTTGTGGTGGTATGAGCTGGAATTTGATCCTATTCTTGTTAGAAAGGCAAATTTGCTATCAACTATTATGGGCTTCCACCTCATCGGGATGTGATCTAACTATTCATTTGGATGTTTTCAAGAGAGGTTTTGCTGGATCTTGTGGTAGACGCCAACTTAGCAAAGAATTTTGTAAAACATAGATATTCCAAATAGTTAGTTGATTCAAATTGCAATGAGGTTAGAGCTGAGATGATTGGATAGCACAACTAACAAGAATACCCAAGATTGAATCCTATCTCCTGTAATTTGTTTCAAACTACCCTGAAAATTGCAGTAGATTAGCAACAGAAATGAAGGGTATAAACTAAATGGTAGTTGATATCTAATATAAGCCCCCCAGTGGCACAGCGGTATGTCTGCGGACTTACAACGCTAGAAACCGGGTTTCGATACCCGTGGTGGGCAGAGCACAGATAGCCCTTGTGTAGCTTTGTGCATAATTAAAAACAAACAAACAATCTAATAAAAATAAGGAACAATTTTGTAGTTGTTAAATTTATGTGATTGAAGAGATTGCTAACTATGGCACTGATTGGTGATTATCACACTCTTACAATATGATATATATATATATAAATAGAAATAAATATAGTACTTTAGAAAATTATAATATTATAATAGAATGATCTTTTAGAGGGCTAAAGTTTTGGTATGTATAATGAGGCCTGTGCATTGACAAGGAAATATTTTCTTCACTTAAGCAATTCTTTAATATCTCTGAATTACCAAAAAAAAAATAAGTGTAATTTGATAAACATGGTTAACTTTGATAAATGAGATCTGAATAGCTCTGTTTTCTATGCATGCTTAATTTTATAACCTTCTTACAGTATTTTTCAAGATATAAATGAACTTACCTTTCTAGGATCCATATCTTCACCGTTCCTTACCTCATATTATAGGATCCGATGCTTTCCATCATGATGAACATGTTGGACTTTTAGATCTTCTTAGTGAAGGTAAGACTTTTTTATTCTTTCTGCCTCTATATATGACAATGTGTAACAAGTAAGGATATTCAAATGTGGTGCTGATATCTTGATGGAAATGAACTCTCATGGCAAACTAAAATTTCCAGTCATTCTTCAATCATTTCTGATACCTCATTTCATGGTGTATCTTATGAGCTCTTGTCCTCAAATTTTGATTTGTTACTTAAGCAGATGCTCCTCCACCAAAATATAGGGTCTACATATATCTATATATATGTATATATCTTAAAGGATATTTGAATAAATATCTATTTATTAGGCATCATTCCTAGTTCTTTGGTGATTCTGGTATCTGAATTCATTGATTTCGTTATATGTTTTAAATTAATTAGTTTTTTCTATTTTCTACAACTTTTATTAGTTATATTGCTGTAAATAGGTGACACCAAGGGATCTTAGGTAGGAATCCTTTACATTATTTTAGCAGCTATTCTAAAGGTCACTTAATGCACTTGATGTAGGTAGATAAAAGCGTGCATTTACAGAATTTTTTAGAGATACAATCAAACTTTAATCAAATTGCTTTATTATTAATGTATGTGAATAAACGTAGAATCAAAATGTATTTAATGAATCAAATTTTAACATGCGTCGCATGAGCTGAGGGGGGGGGGTCTTTTTACTATGAGGTTATTTGTTACCGAAACTTTTTCAATGTAGAAACTGTTAAAAAACCAAGAAACTCTCACAACTTTTGTTTTTTACAAAAATTTAATACATATTTCAAAATTTATGGCACTTTGTTTCAAAGTGGATGTGCAGAGTAAAGCAGTTAGGCACGTTAATACAATTACTATGGGATGGTAGCTGTTTGACTCTTCTTTTGCTGTGACTGCATTCAAGAAATTAATAACTTCAGTTCATCATCACATGGGAAATTGTCATTGTGAACATTGTCTTTATGCTGCACCTTGAGCTCGCAGACTGCGTTTTTATGTATATGGTGTAGTTTAATTCAGATACAATGGGCATCAATTTGTCTCTGTAAAGTTGCTGTATTCTCGTGGAAAAAATAATGTCAAGGATACCATATTTTTTGTACTTTGCTGTCAAGGCTGTGATACGTTGACAAATTTCAGTGTCAGCTGGTATATCGAATTGATCAAGATATGTAGATCTCAATTCTTCAAGCATTCTTCTGGTGCCCAGTTTATTCCACTTATCCCCAACACTCTAATGGCAGGAATTTAGGTTTAAAAACCTTTAAAGCCTCAAAGAAAATTTTGGGGTCTGAAAGACAACCTGGGGTGGTCAGAAACTTTTGTTTCCCTTCACCCTGCATGATGAAAGAGTTGAAACCAAATGAATTTTGATTGAGTCACTGGGCTTAAAATTGTTAAAGCTCATGGGGAGAGAAGCTGTAGGACAAGAAGAGGCTCAGGAGATGCCAATCCAAGCATGCTGAGAAAGCCATGAAGAGACCATCTTTCAGTAGTTGGAGTTGAAGCACATGTGTCTGTGGATACATGTGATGATGACATCAGATGAAATAAGCAGTAACCAGATGGAGAAGGGAGAAATAGACCAAGTATGAACAATATCATCCTTTAATTGATCTATATATGTTTTACCATGTTGTGGACATAATGTCCAACCAAGAGTAAATTCCTCCACAAAGTAGCTGGAATTCACTTTACATCTCATGTTCATTTCTGAATTACCAGAGGATTCGATGGCTGCTTCCCACCACCCTTTTGAGATATTTTTACTGTAGGGGATAATCATGAACGTGACAAACCACAATGGCTGCATTTGAAGTATATTCCACAATATGAATGCTTGCATTTGCATGTTAAATGCTCCATGAAAGTTCCCCTACTGTTCCATACCACTTTTTTTTTTACCTGACTGTTAACAGAATCATTGATTCAGTAAAAGTAGTGCCAAATGGCTGCATTTTGGCCAATGGGAATTATCACAAAATTATAGCAAAAACAAAAAAAGCCACAATGGGTTAGCATTTCTTGATAAATAACAAAGACCCCCTTGGCTTGTACGATGTGTGTTAATATCATATAAGTTTCAATTTCTTAATTTCAAAAGGGAAATACTTAAATAAATATTCAATCTCCTCTTGTCTGAGTAATGTGACATTCGTTTTCTCTGACTTGCTCATTTTCTGTTTTCTCATCACCTGTTTATGATGTCCCGAGTTTAATGTAAATTACTCATTATAATATAGATATTATTAAAGCATAGTTTAATTTTTTTAGCCTTCTATCTTCTTTGTTTACCGAGATATAAACCAGAAAGTCATACCCATTTGCCACATCCTCTATTTCACAAATTGCCAGTAATTCTCTCTGACATTTGCTGGTACATTTATAACCAATATAAAGATAAAGTTTTAGTTTACTGAATGATGTGTAAGGCTACTTCCTTCTCAGTAGAGATTTTTAATTATTTTGCCTACAGATTCAAATTTCCTGTTATCAAGTTCAAATCAAACAGCTAAGGGAATTATTTCAACTCTTTCCATATGGACATAATTTTCTGTGCATATCATGAGGTTTTAGTGAGTTACATTCAAAATTTAATTAAACTACTTTATTATCATGGCATAAACTTGTCATTAAAATGTAACTAATTATCCATATTTTAATATTATATAAGTTATTAGTTCTTAGTTTTACAAGGCAATATTAGAAAAATCCTCAATTTCCCCTTGTATGAGATTGTGACATTTTTTTCTCTACATATTTCCTCTTCTCTAATTTATTTACCATCTCTCCAAGAAGTACAAAATTTAATACAAGTTACTTGTTATAATTTTGTTGTCACTCAGGCAAAGCATAATTTTTATAGCCTTCTATCTTATTTGATTACAAAGCGATAAACTAGAAATCAGACCTCTCTTGCCATGCCCACCTGTCACATTCTCTTTCAGAAATTGCCAATAGCTCTCTCTGATGTTTAATACTACATTGTTTATAACCAATAGAAATCCATGGTTTTAATCTATCAAATGATGTATTATGCTACGTTGTTTTCTGTAAAGCGAATTGTCTATTTTGCTTCCACTTCAAACTTTATTCACATAGGAAACGCATCAGTGAGCTTAGATGAATTTTTAACGGCTCTTGTTGTATAGTTAGCCAGAAAAATTGGAATAGTTATAGGACATTGTCTGTTTTTTGTGTGGCACGAATATTAGTTTGACATGGTTCAAAGGGCAATAAAATAAAATTTAAGTAAAACAGATGTATACTGTTATGAGTTAAAAGCATTTTAGGATAAATAAATTCAGTTTCATGTTACAATTCAAAGTCATTCTAGAAAGAAAAAGTAATTTAGATTTATTTAGGTTCTTGTTTGGAGGATTACAAGGTCAGTCAAGTAGACCAACCTTCTATAGAGTTAGGGTAGAGAAAATAATAGATAAAATATAAAGTTTTACTGAACAAAACATTTCAAATTTATTTAGGAGGTTTTAGAGATTATGCAAATGAAATTTGAGAATTTTTGGATGAAGCAAAGCATTTTTAATCTGAACATGAAGATCATGGAGAAATTTTTAGTGAAAACACTTCATTAACCCCATGACATCGACCTACTTACATTGCAGGTAGATAAATAACTCTTGTGAAAGTTATTTACAAAAATTAAACTAGTGGATGAAATTGTTTTAAATTTGACATGAAAGGTACTAAAAGTATGTAGTTTTTGAAAAATTTAATTTTGATTTTTTCTACTGTTTATGATAAAACATTCGTTATTTAATGTAGTTATTTGCACTCAGACTCTGAATAATTCACATGCAATGTGGTTTTCATTTTGAGTATAAAAATACTATTTACCATTATAACAGTTTTGACATTTCATTTACATAATCTCTAGAACCTCCTAAATGAATAACAAATGTTTTTTCAAGGTAAATGTTTATCTTTTATTTTCCATTTTCTCTACTGTATCACTAACTCTATTTATTATCATCAATGTACAGTGCAGTGAAATGTTTAAAATTAAGAAATAGAAATATGTACATGCCTTTTAGCTCTTCATTGAAGTCTTTTGAAACTTTTCTTTTTAATGTGTAATTTCACGTCTTTATCTTTTTACTTGTAGTTTACTTTTACTTTTATGCTCGATGCTAGTATGCCAACATGTCCCCACAGTGTTCTGTTTTTATTATAGAGGACACTCGTACACAAATTCTTTCACTAATGCTTGCACATGCAAATGATGCCATCCTGCTTAGACAATTTCATAAGCCAGGTTAAATGTATAAAAATCATAAACCTTTTAAATATGCAGTTTAAAACACAAATAATACACAATTAATTAAGATATAATTGTAAAACGTAAATGAAATCTAACTGTTTAGCAAACTAATACATATAAGGCAAAAAACACTTGCCAATCACTATGTACCCCTCGAGAGAACAGTGAACTAAGCTTGTTTTCTGTCTCATACTACAGATCCACACACTGGTAGAGGTTTATTTGGAGTATAATTTAATAGTGGCAAGTCTGCTCTTTTTGTTGGTTATAAGCATGCCATTCAACTTCAAATTGTCAATTAGAAACACAGCTTCGACTTTGCAAGTGGGTGTGGCTGACCTCAAACATAAAAATATTTAGAACGTTTCACATGGGGAGAAATTCTTGTAAGGCCTCCAGACAGTAATGAAATACATCTGGAAGTGTACTTTGACCGTTTGAACTGACAGTCTATATTAGCTACTCAAAGTTTCTTGTATAAGAGCTCTTAAAGTTGAGAATTGTAATTGCGAGCATATCATGTGACAACAAAAAACCAGTTTTAATTGCTCATTTTGGTGTTTCTTTTTAATATAAAGGAATAAAACATAGATAATATAAAACTTTAAGTTATAATGTATTTGATAATAATAATTTTATGAAAATACATTAAATTTTGAATGTAACTCAGTAACATGCACAGAGGGGGTTAACAAGGTTTAAAAATGGCATTGTTGCTATAGAGTTAAAAATTCTGATTTTTTGTC